CTGCCTCCCGGCCGGGCTCCGATAGCCGTGCGGGGCTGTCGCTGTCCGCCCCGGTCGGCGGGGCTCCGCGTTGCCCAGGCCGGATTGTCACCCTCGCGGGGAAGCGCTGGCCGAGCTTCCTGCCCGCAGTTCCTTTCCCAGGTCGATGCGGTTTAATTCGGGATGTGGTAGGATGTAGGAGGAGTTGGAATTTCCCCTCCTTCCGGTGCTCCCTGCCCTCGTTTATCAGCACTAACCTTTATTTGTCATTGTCCCTAACCCTGCTTGGCTCTTTCTGGAACACTTTGGTCCCGCTGCTCCTGACTGATGGTCCCGTCATCCCTGAACGTTGCGCTCTTGCTGTCATCCCTCCTCCTCCAGGAATTCTGAGTACCCTGAGCCCCAGCAGACCTTGCCTGAAGTGTGTGATAGATGAAGTAACACTGGACTTCGGGAGCTTTCTCATCATACACCCCATTTTTAAAAGAGGGCGTGAAAACTCCCCGAAGTGAATAGTTACTCAGATTTTTAACTCCCTGATGAGGCCGTCGTTAACGTGGTGCTTGGGGTAGCAGCAGTGTGGTTAACATCGGGGCACCTGGGCTTCAGAGCTGAAACCCTTTGAGCTGTAGGATGACACCCAGAAGAGACCGACGCGGCTGTCTGGCCTCACAGCAACGTGCTTTAAAATGAAAAGCTCAAAAAAAAAAACAAATGACCTTGAGGAATGGGTGTCTGGAGTTGTTTCTAGGCATCATGTGCCAGCATATGGGTTTGGGCAGCTGCTCCTCCACATTCTGTTTGTTTGGCAAACCCTGGTGGTGTGTGCTCTCTGCGTTGTGTTCCGTACCCCCTGGGTGAACAGCCATGGCTGTGTGATGGGAGATGACTGACAGAGTTCTTTATCTGTGATTTGCTCTTTCCTGTCTCTGTATGTGGCATTAAATACAACCTGGCTGATTCTTCCCAGCACATATCAATAAGCTGTCATACAAATATTACTGAGTGTGTGGTTCTTTTTATAATATTTATGGCATTAAAAATTCATGCTTGGGGAGGGGCCTTGTAATTCTGAACTTTTTAACACACGAAATGAGCAAACTGACACTTACTCTCTCATTTTATCTTTTAGATCAACTCATATGTAGAGTGTTGTGAGTCTGTGAAGCACCCTAGCAGTTTCTTTCACTCTTCCTAGAAGTCCAGGTGTCACAGGAAAACTTCACTTATTAGGTGGCATCCAGAAACGGCAGCGGATTACTGACCTTCTGCTGAGTGGATGGCAGCACCATGAAAAATGTAATGTTTCAGAAAGTTTATTTTATTCTCACAATGTGTCTCTGCTCGTGGCTGTTCCAGTGTCGATATTTGAGTTTATCTGAAGAGTATGAACCTACCATAGGCTGTTTGTTTATGCCTTGGGCACAGGAAATGGGAACGAGCTGCTGCTCTTCACAAAGCCTCTGCACCTGAGCTGTTTGAGTGGTTCTCTTGGATTGAAGGTTTTCTCAGAATCAAAACTCCCTTTCTGAAAGGGGCTCAGATGTGAAGCTAGTGTGTTGAGCTCATCCCCACAAACTGCAGCTTAAGCAAGCAGAGTTTGTGCTCCATCGCTCAGGCATGGTCGTGCCGAGTGCTGGAATAGCCTGTGCACTGGTTTCTTCTGTTGGGGACTTGGAGCAACCTGGGCTAGTGGAAGGTGTCCCTGCTGCTGGCAGGGGGGTTGGGACTGGATGAGCTTTAAGGTCCCTTCCAACCCAAACCAGTCTGGGATTCCATGCACTGATTTCCCTGTGGCTGCTCAGGGACTCAGATTAAGAAGCTATATAAATGCTGGAAAATGATAAGCTGTCTTTTGTGTCCTGGTGAAAGGGGTTGTGAGGAGAGCCTGCGTCATCAGATATGGAATGCTCTGAATCCAGAGTGTGTGAATTTTAACTTATTTTGCTGATTTAGTACTCCAAAAAATCTTTAAAAAACAAACACTGAGCAGTATATATACAGCATGTGGGAAGCGTGTTCAGTTACATGCTCCAGGCACAAAACTATGTTGTTTTTAAGTAAAATCATAGAGCCATTGAATGTTGTGAGTTGGAAGGGACCCACAAGGACCCTTCCTGTCCCTGCACAGGACAATCCCAACATTCAGTCCATGTCCCTGAGGGCCTTGGCCAAATGCTGCTGGAATCTTGTCAGGCTTGGTGCCATGAGCACCTCCCTGGGGAGCCTGTTCCAGTGCTCCACCACCCTCTGCCTCAAGAACCTTTTCTTCATGGCCAACCTAAACTTGCTCTGGTGTATCTTCCTGCCATTTCCCCTGGAAGGTAGTGTTGGTTTAGTATCTGACCACTTTATATGGCTTGCAAAATACATTCTTGTAAGACACTTCCGAGCTGCTTCGTATTTCCTTCCTACAGACAGGAAATTATGGCAAAGAGGCACTTAAAATTATGAGAGTGTCTTTGATAATTGAACACAGACCTCCATTTCCTAAATTCCTTAATCATAAGTTAACCCATACTCCTTTTTATTAGTCTCTGATTCATGTAGAGCCAACAGAATTGCCTCCAAATTTCTGTAAGGGCAAAAAGGAATTGGAACCTGGGGCCAAGCAGAAGAGATCAGAACTGCAATTTCCATTTATGTGTAATTTGAGTCAGGAAGCAGTGAAGAGACTTACCTAGTGATGCACATCGTATCAGAGAAGGTTTTTGATATCAAAGTACAATTTCCTGCAGCTTTATCATTTATTCTGTGATTAGTTTTGTTAGTAACAAAGTAAAAAGTTCTTGAAGTAACTTTTGAATTACTTTAGTTTTAATTTTAAGAGTAATAGGATTCCTGGTTCAGCAAAGGGAAGATCTGCCCAGATCTGAACGCCTGGGTGTGCGAGGAGGCTGGGGAAGTCCCTGTTGTTTTCTGTCATTATCTGCTGAGCGCATTGTCATTTCATAATTCCCGGAATTTGGCACATCATAAGCCTGGGGTGAAGCAGAGAGCAGCTAACAGGCTACTGCTCATCACTCACCTAACAACAATGGGTGTGTGGAAGGATGTTAAGATTATAAATCCTAAACACTCCAGAAGATCAAGATATTTCACTTATCTCTGCAGGTCCCGAAGGGAGAAATAAACTAGTAGATGCCTTTGAAAGGCTGCCTTGCCTTTGGATGCAATGACAGCGAGACCGCAAGGCTCGGCTGAGCAAGGGGAGGTACATCCTGTAGAGTGTGAAAAACACGATTGCCTCATTGTTCTTGCAAGACCTTCCATTATTTTCAGTTTGTTTATTTGGTGAAGCTTTGCCAGGTTTTGAAATGAGCAGAAATCTAGAGTTAACGCTGTGTATGGGCTGTAGAATTCACTTGCAAAAGTACTTGGAGAGCTTTCTTTTTTTTCCTTCTTTGAAGGAAATATGAATGTATGTGTCTGTATTGGGTCATATTACCACTTGCACGGGTGGACAGCTGCAGCGTGGCTGTTTGATTAAGAAGGGTCTGTGAATTAGCCAGGATAATTCCAGTTAACAAAGTAAAGTGAACTTCCAGAACGAGTTAATCTCTCCTGCATTAACGCCGTAAAGCTTGTAACAGGTTCCGACTAGCGCTGCCGTTGCATGCTACTAGGGAGCTGTTTGTAACCTGACTTGGTGAGGCTGGAAACAGAGTTGTATTTCTCTACGTCTGCCTGGCAAACAATAGGCAAAGAAGCAAAGCAAAGTTGTTGTTTTAAGTGAAGCAGTTGAGTTTTGCAAAGCAGTTGTAACTACCAAGCTGCAGAGTCTCTGCCGGGCTGCCCCTCCTCCTGCTGGGACGACTTAAATGTGTTTTCCTTCTCTGCCTTCCTGCAGGTCTCTTCCTTCCTGGAAATTCAGCAAAGCATTAGCGTTCCCAGGCTGTTGGATCTCTTCCATGTTAATGGATAATATTTGCTATGTGCCCTGTAAATCCTGCCCTGGGACTCTGTGACCGGTGGGGTGCCTGATGCCTGTAATCCCCATTCCCCGCCGGGTCCGTTCGTTCCACGGCCCCCACACGACCTGCCTGCATTCGGCCTGTGGCCCGGTAAGGACCACTCACTTGGTGCGCACCAAGTACAACAATTTCGACATCTATCTCAAATCCCGATGGATGTATGGATTCATCCGTTTCCTGCTGTACTTCAGCTGCAGCCTCTTTACCTCCATCCTCTGGGTGGCACTCTCGATCTTGTTTTGCCTTCAGTACCTTGGCATCCGGATCTTTCTGCGTTTCCAGTACAAACTCTCCATCATCCTCCTCTTACTGGGGCGAAGGCGGGTAGACTTCAGCCTCATGAATGAACTGCTCATCTATGGAATTCATGTGACCATGCTGCTAGTGGGGGGGCTGGGATGGTGTTTCATGGTATTTGTGGATATGTAAATAAAAGAAGCGCATGTGGGCTGAGAAGGTGACTTTTCTTCTACCCCAGAATGTGTCAATATCTTCTTTTCTTTTTTTATATAAATTAATTTATTTATCAGTGCTACTTTTTATTGATATATTAACGTACTTGTCTCTGGAATTGGTAAATTTTTTTGAGGGTTGAGGTGCCATTTTGATTATCAAAGTGCAACACGTGACTGGGTGTTTTTTCTTTGCACAGTGCAAGTTAATCTAAATTTCTTCTAGTCCATAGGAGCCTCCCTCACTGCTGTTCCTGTATTCCTGTGGGCATGGAAAGGCTGATTTATCTGGAGGACAGAAGCCAGATAACTTTGCCCCCCACACTCTTAATCCATATTCACTCCTTTTTAAAAAAAATGCTCCTTAATGTCTCAGTCATGTCATATGTATCCTACTTGACCAGAGTTGTCCTTTCTCTTCTTTTGCATTTTGCATATTCCCTGCTAAGAATATGGGGGCAGATTCAACAGTCTGTAGGGGGTTTGGTGGTGTTTTTTTTCCTGTTTTGTTTTTAGATTGGTGCCAGACCTGCATTTGACCCACTGCACTGTTCTGTTCACTTTAACATAATTATATAGCTTGGAATGGCTTTGTCCTTTTCAGGCAGTTAGTGCTGAGTAATTGAGTCTTACCCTGATAAAACAAATCCACTGGAGTGATGGGAGCAGAGATTGGTATCACGTGCCCTTGAAACTCCCAGTCAAGGCAAGTATGTTATCATTTTGCAGGGATTAAGGGGAACCCATTGCCATGGTCTGTAGTGTTTAGATCTTGGCATTTGGTTCTATTTTTACCTGAATTGATTAGTTCCAGTTTTCTCACAGGGGAACTTCTGTCTTACAGAGTATGGTGAGAGGAGACTGTCTTACCTCGGAGAGATTGAAAGCAGAGTACAACCTGAAATGGCAATAATTGTTCTCTGTGATTACAGAAAACATTCTCTCTCCTGCCTCTGCAGCAGTGAGAGGGGGGTCACTGGAGAGCTTTACTAACAGCTCAAGAAGGGAGTTAAGCATTAAGCTCAGTTTTACTGGTCTGATCTAAGGTCTCAGTTTGCTCCTCTGCAGTCAGTCAAATAACTCTATGCTGACCTAAAGTTTATTTTTATTCTTGGTTTATTTGTTTCTTTTTCCTTAAAATGGAATATTGTTGTTTTCCCTGTGTTCTTTAAAGAACTGTTTAAAAACAAGTCAGTTAAAAATGATAGAGACCCTTTCCCTCCCTGCCCCGCCCTCCATGTGAAATCAGTGGCATCAATCATGATAGGATAAGCAAGACTAGAAATACATGAGAGGTTTTTTTATGATCAGTTTGAGATATGAATGTGGTTGTGAACAAAGCCAGTTTGTACTCAGGGAAGGATGCTTCTTATTTCAGCTTGTGAGTATTGCAGTCTTTTGCTGACATACTTTGATTTGTAGGTGTATGGATGCAAAATAGAGAAGCTTCTGTCTGAAGCCCAAAGCTAAAGCAAACCCAGAAATTATCTCATTGTCAACTGTTAAGATAATGCAGACTGGACACGTGGAGCTGAATAAATAACGGGCCATGATGGTGTGAACTTTAGATTGGCCCCGCGAGAGCCAAAAGCTGTTTCTGCAGGAAAGATGTAGCGTCAGCATGTGTCACCAACTGGTGTCTGGAAGTCTCCTCCTAACTGTAGAGCTCCCCAGAGCCTTGCTCTGGGATCGCTCTCTGGATGGCAAGTCCTCAGTGTCCTGCAGGTTTCAACTACAGCTTGCACTGTGGCCAGAGGGAATTGCCAGTAGTTCCCAGCCCAGCGCTTTCCTCCCCAGGACAGCTGTCAGCCTGGGGCGTTGTAGCTCTGGTGTGCAGACTGTGGGACTCCTGGGGTGGCTGTGCTCATCAGTTTCTGCAGGAAAATGTTACAGATGGCCAGCAAACAGCTGAGAGGCCAGCCAGGACCCCAGGGAGGCACAGCCGAGAGTAGCTCTTCCTTGCCCTTTGCGGGAGGCACAGCCTGGAGACTGGTTGGAGGTTGGATGGTAGGACCTTGTTTCACCTTGGAGTGGCCGTATGTCAGTGCTCGTTATAACCATGAGTAAAAGGGTGATTTGTGCTGCACTCCCCGCCAGAGCCTGCTTCCGCTGGTGGGTGCTCTGTGTGACAGATGCACTCGACTGACCAAACTTGGGGCAGTTTGGTCCAGGCTCTGAAGGAAGTCAAGGTTTAGGTTGTGACGGGGTCGTGAACTTCTCCAGTTCCAACGTGTTCTTTGAAAACCCACACAGGAACAGGGTGACACGGTGAGCTTTGATGTACACAAGTTTGGAAACCGGAACGCCGATCATGCGATTAACACATGAATAGCAGGTGGTTCTTCCAAGACTAATTTGGTCAAGGAACAAAGGAGCTTGTGGGTGCAAGGAGTCTCACACTTACCTTTTCTATCGCACGTAATTTGACTACGAGCCAAACACTTAATTCCATAAATATAACAGCCTGAGTGAGCGTTTTTTGAGCTCTCCCTGCTAAGCTGCTGGCTGCATGGTGGTGATCTCCCCTTGAGTTGGGACACCTCTCAAGGTTACTCCTCAAGGTTAAGAGACCCCTTACCAACTGCAGATCTTTAAGTGACCAATGCTATGCATAACCTTGTATTGCAGGGCATTAACATCTTGTATTGGTAACTTGGAATCATCATTCTATCCTCTGTGCAGTAACAGATTGAACCTTGCCATGGGGCTTAGTTAAGCCTCACTTTTGCCACATCTTACTTCAATGAAACCACTTTTGCTGCTGCCTTTGGTGGTGGTTCTTTAAGCAGTCCAGATCTGCTCCGTGACACTCCTGCAGCGGCAATTCAACAACCGAGGGCTTCTGTGGTGAGGTTCCTTGCTTTCCTGCACAGACTTCCCCTCAGCCCTCTGTATCCCAATTCAGTGGTGCATACCAAGGAAAAAGTGTGTGCTCTTATCAAAGCACAGAATGCCCAAATGTTCCTCGAGGGAGACCTTGGGGCTAAGTTGCTTAGAAGACAGTGGGAGGTGATTCCCCTGTCTTCTTTTACAAAGGCAGCCAAGTATCTACTCTCAGAATGCCCTGAATCTCAAATCTGCAATTACACAGAAAGATAGACAATCCCAAGATTAAATAATTGAGAAAGAGGCTCTGAAGGTGCTCTAAAGTTCAAAATACTCTCCTTCTTGGTCATTACCAGCACCTGAACACCTTGCAGTGCTTGGGTGGTGAGGTCCTACCAGCGTAGTGGGGGAAGTGAGGTCCCTTTGAAGTCATGCTGGCAAGGAAGAGGAATTCATTTTCAAATGATTTATTTTATGATGTAATAATTTGAAAATTTTAGCTCTACATGAGCGGAGCAGTATTTGGCACCTTTATGGCACTTTCCTCTTCAAAGCATTTTCCAACTAGAGCTAATTAAACCTCACAACATCCCCAGGAGATTGCAGAATAAGTAAGATCTTGATAATGGTTCAGAATTTAAAATGAGTGGGTTTAAATTTGAGATATTTTTTTTCTTCACGCTTTTAGGATTACTTTGCCAAAATATTTTTTTTCTCAAGGAGCTGAGATTCTAAAAGTTTCTTACCAGCTCAAGGGGAGCCAAGCCACAACTGAGGGAGGGAGAAAGAGGCAGCATAAATGTTGTGTTAAATATATGCCAAGAATAAGCTGGGTTTGGGGGTTTTTTTCCCGCCCATTTAGTTTAATTGAAGAACCTGGCCTTTTTAATAAAGGGGGAGAGGAAACAAAGTTCTGCAGAATACAAGTAAAGAAACAAGGGAAGTTGAACTTTCTGCTTGTCAAGAGTCAAACAAGTGGCTTATAAAGACTTTTGCCAGGAATATTTCATGTTGAGCAGGTACTTGCAAACTGTGCCCCATTGGGGACGTTCATATTCTTTGGGATTTTTTACTCTTCAAATTCATCAGTGCTGGGAGGGATGGATCAGGCTCCAAAGTGTGTTCAGTCTTCCCTTCTTACTCTATAGATGACTGTAACACTAAAATTTTTGAAATTTTCATTTTGACGTTCCTTCATGCCAATTCCATCCTGAACAGGAGACCAGCTGGTTAGTTTCCTGTAGTTTTTTGGTTTGGTTTGGTTTTGGTTTGTTTTTTTCTGTTTATTTCCATGTTTGGGCTTTCAATATTGTTATTATGCTTACTGGGTTAAAAATGTCCTCAAAAGTAATTAGAAAAAAGACTAGAAATACTGATTTGGGAGAGTGTGTCCATCCTAGACCCATGCAGAGCCCTTTGGAGAACTTCCCCTGTGAGTCCTGCTCACTCCAGAGCTTTCCAGGTGTTTGGGCACCAGAGAAGCTCTGGCTGTGTTGCACAGACTTGAGAGCAGGGATGGTGGTTCGTGTGGTGGCAGAGCTGCCTTGGCCTGTTGTTCAGCCTGTGAATGTACGAACGAGACTGAAATGCCGGAGTTTCACCTTGTTAACTCTTCCGAACGTGACACCAGCTGGTGTTTTGGGTGCCTGTTAAGTTCTGTATGAAACATGCCACCTACATTAAACTTATTTTTTTTTAACATGTTGATGGATTGATTGCTTGTGAAGAAAAAGGAAGAATTTTGTCGTATGACGCCGGTGTCGTTCTGACGTGGGGATGTCCCAGATCATCTTCCTCTCTTTGTGCTGGTGCAAAAAGTCAGAGCAAGTGCATGGTGGAGGAGAATCAGGCCCTCTCTGGTCATACATCACCGAGGGTTGGGCAAAACACCTCTTTTTATGTCCTTGAAAGGTCATTCAGTAATGACTTATGAGGAGAGCCAGGAGTACAGAACAGCCTTCCAGCTCCTAGGCTTTGGCTCTAGCAGACTGTATTGCCCACCACGAGCCTCTGAGTGATCGGAAGGAGCTGTCACTTTGTGTTGAGGTGCACATCAATTAATTACTACAAGGTGCTGTCGTTCCTCCTTTCCTGGTGTGGAGCTAAGCTTGCAGTGCAGAGCTGTGTTGTTTCAGAAGACAGTTGGGATGATTCCTATGGGAATAAAGGGGAATATTCCTACTATGATGGACTTTGTAATTCCTGTTGTTCTTATGTGGAAAGTACTACCATGATGTGCAGCAGCGTAGAATAC